AGAGTTACAAATAGAGTAGGGTGGAGGTAACAAGGAATAATCCAAGTGTCCAGGAGTCTCAACGGCGAATTAGATAGATAGATAGATAGACAGATAGATATAGATAAATGCTTGAAAGTAGAACCTTGAACCGCAGCTGTTAGAACTATTACAAGTCAGTCAAGTAGCAATCAGACTACTTTGCAAGAATATTAAAAGCATATATCTTCACTTCTGAGAAGCATCTGAAAAGGGGAAATCAGAGAAAACTTCTAGCTTATGGAGTACTCTTTACTGCACTTCAGTTACCTATTTCCTGTTTATTTCCCACTTGAAAAATCACATCCCAGAATCATAATGTAATTTTTAAAAACTTGCATTCATGACCATTCCATTTCAAATGTTTTGTTGAAAAAACACAAAAAACAAATGGAATGCTGTAAACAGATTTAAGTCAGCCACAAAAAACATTCTGACAGATGTTAGCATCTGTGAACACGGATCTTTCACGATAGTCCTTTCCAATCTGGGCTCTTTTCAAATATGAAGACCTCCAGGGTTTTTTTGTTGTTGTTTATTTCAATACGCTCTACAAAATTTAAGATAGGTTTTCAGTACCAGAAGGCTGAGTTTTCAATATATTAGTCCACCTACTTGCAGTGTTACTTGCAGCACCTGACACTCAACTTTTAGTTACGCATGCTGCCAGACAGGTTAACCCATTGACTATATTTGTGTTATGATGAATGGCAAAGATCATTAGATGAAGGAAAAGAGGAAAAAAGGAAACCAAACTGTGAAATTAATTAATTTTACGGGATTACCACTTAGCAATAAAACTGCTTTACACAGAATTACGTAGAACAGACTACTCATAAACTTGCAAAAACTTGCTAGATCATAATAAATCCCAGAAACTGACTGTCACATTTCTGGGGGCCTGCTCAGAAACGGAAACGTGACTTTCCCCACACTTCGATTCCTTCCAGCCACTCAAACAAATCCTCATCTCTTCTAAACATCGTGCTCCCCAAGGATCCTGCTTGCGTGATAGCAGGCCTTTCCACTGCTGTAAGATCGGGCAAACAGAAAACACAATAAAGAAAAAACTCAAATAACTATTGAAAACCAGTGCATAGAGGCAGAACACATTATTTTTTAAAGTAAATGTACTTTCTTTTGTTCTTGGAATAAAAAGTTTTAGTACTGGAGTGCTAAGCTCCAGATCCAGGTAGGAAGTGGGTAAAACATATGCCAAGAGAAGCGAATAGAAAATTTCTCGAGTCACCCACACAGATTTTAAAATGTGGATTCACAGCTATAGTTGGCATTGCTTTATATTAGCAGTGGTTAGCTTTTCCTTCTTAACAGACAACACTCTTTTCTGTCCAGCCTTCTCACTTAAATCTTTTGAGCAGCCTGACCCCTTTAACTGCCTAATAGTCCTAAAAATATATCTATTTTAATTTCACCAACAGCCACACACAGGTCCTGTCCTTTAAGGCACAAAACTGACCAGCTCTATTTTTTACTGAACTCACGTGGCCTGCTCAAAACAAACAGATACTGGCAAGAGCAAAATCCAAATTATACACTGCTTTATCCTAGGAACACAAAGTACAAGGCCGACGCAGTGAGTCAGACACCTCAGCGCCAGTGAGCTCCTCAGGTTGACAGGAGTCTCTCTGGGATCCTTATAAGTGTAAGCCAAGCCTTTTTCAGAAAGAGTCAAAATAATCGGGTTTAGACAAACATGTGTTGTGTTATTAGCAAAAGTATCTCTCTCATCAGAGTGGAAAAGGCAGCAAAAAGCATGCCAGGAATCCTGGAAATGGGCAGACAGTCACAGCGAGTAATATTTTCTTTTTTTTCTTCCTCCCTTGAAACTCCTTCAGCATGAAAAGTCCATTTGCAAGAGCAGTTAATTACGGGGTGGGGGGAGAGGAGGGGAGAGACAAATGACTCAACAACAGCGCAGGGAACACGAACGTGGGACCAATTTATGTACAACAGAAGCCTGAAAACTTCTCAGTCTCTGTAACAATTTCTTAGTGTCCTTGGAAAACGCTTTAGATACTTCAGCCAAACAGACTTAAACCTGTCAGATGTATCCATTTGTCTATCAGTAAAATGCCATGTTCTATATATGAAGACTAAAAGCTAGATGCATATTGGCATTACCATAGTTTCTGTGGTTTACTGGTGTTAGTTTTAACCAATGCAATTAATCCATATCCTTACCATGAAAACAGAGGTTTCTCCCACAATTTGCCAGGCTCTTTCTAGAAACCAGATACTTTGAACAAAACGCGTCACTTCCCCTGCTCCACTTTTAATTTCATGCCTCTGTTCAGCTTACTGTTGCATATGCACCTCTGTGGCAACAACATCTGGATTAATGTGGAGTGCTACAGAAGTAGATATACAATAAAACAGCCTGCCTAAAATACAAAAAAAATAACTATTCTTCTACCTTGATATCTAATTAGATATACAATAAAACAGCCTGCCTAAAATGCAAAAAAAACCCAACTATTCTTCTACCTTGATATCTAATTAGAAAGTTTTGTTTACAAACCAATGAATTATCTAACTCATCTTGACTCACAAAATACAAAGGTTGCTTTCATGGCAGCTTCACTTTACACAAAGAAGATTAGAAAGAAGAAAAGAGTTTTATTTTAATCACAAACAAATGAGCCATCAGTTGGTTCAAAGGACTGCCAGAGGGCGTTGGACCCTTTTGCCCTCTATCAGGTGACAGACACAGACATTTCTGATAGAGAAGAAAAGTCTCATATGGATGCTTATCCGTCATGGAAACAGCAGCTGATAAAACACTGTGAGGTGTTTTCCATTCCTCAGTTTCTAAAAGGAGTGTTCATTCCCTTTTTTTTTTGCTAAAGCCGTTGATTTTTCTCTTCCAAAAGACAGTCTGATAGCTGCAAATGACAACAACTAAGCTCTTTTTTGAGCTGAGACATCTATCAAATTTGAGGAACTTCCAAGAGGCCAGCTTAACAACTGCACGTGAGAATACTCAGCTACAGTATGTACTCAGAAGCAACGGGACTCACATTTTTTATTTTATTTCTATTTCAGGTTTGACATAAGAAGTGCAATCTGAGATTTCTGTTTTCTTTCACCCCATTCCTGTGAAGGGTGTGGGCTCAGGCAGGTTAACTACCTCAAATTGTGTGACTGCAAGTTAAGTATACTTTTGGTTAAAAGCTGGAAAGGAAATACGGAGACAGTATTATCATTTGAAATCTGCTAGAATTGATGTCCTTAAAAATCAGCTTGAATAATGGACTGTCAGCTGCCCTGATTTTTGATCAAATGTAGCCCTCTGCAAAAAGATCTACAAGGAGGAATACTGTCCTCAAAATCACATATTGATGTGTGGCTGGTGAAGTAGTTCTAAAAAAAGTATTATACATAAAAGAAGAATGAATTAAATATAAAGTGATAAGTTCACACAACAAAACGTACTGATTACTTAAAAAAATAAGGCAAGTTAAGGTCAATATAACTATTATATATAAAAAGGTTTTTAAAAAATATCGGGTACAAGGCTGTTGAAAACTATTTTCCTGTAGGGGATGACCGAGCTTGCATTGTAGGGAAGAATAATCTTCCTAAATTCCTCCTGGAGGATTTCTGTTGATCAATGAGTGCTGTATATTATCCAGTGGCATACAAAGTACAAGAATTGGGAGAATTCCAGTATTCCAGTCAAAAGCTCAGGAAGAAGGACCTGTGAGCATGCGACTGCCCACCAGCAGGGTGGCTTAGAGGAACTCAAATTCTTCAAACCTTTGAAGATTTCCTTCAAAGCTTATTGTAAATTACATCTCCAGAGTTCTCAATGGGACCTTTTTAAACTAATTGCACATCTCCCTGCAGGTCCTAAAGTCTGCAAGAACAGAGATCTCCTAACGTCCTGAAAGGCTGAATTTAGAAGTTTTATATAACCTCTGCCGCTATAACTCATTTTAATAAGCTTCCTGAGTGAAAACAAAATCAAATGTATCTTACCGTTCAGAATTTTAAGGCAGCATGAAACAAAAGTTTGTGCAAACCCAAAAGAAGGAAATTCAATAATAGACACAATGATCTCAGACCCAAAGTTGCTGAGACAGACTTTGAAATCAGTCTCTGATCTCAAACCTTGAGGATCATAAAAGGAGAAGGAAAGGATTCAACAGTTCAGTACTAGTCAGGAGAAAAAAAACTGTCTAGCGTATTTTTTGTACTTAAGAAAACAAGGTCCCATTCTCGATTCCCTCCACCAAAAGCACACTAGTGTTAGGATGCAAAGACTAAAATTGAAGAGGCTAAAACCACTGGTCTAAAGCTCTATGCTCCATGGGTTTTGCAATATAAGATTTTTGCATTACTGTTAATGATTTGACATCAGATCACATTTTAATGCAGGGGAGCTGAACTGCTGTGACCTCCACATTTCCAAAAGTCAGTGGGAGTTTCTTCCAATGGCTTCACAATGGAAGTATGCACGTGTACACCTGTGTTTCTCTAACGCCATCAGTGCAAAATCCCCATTTTAGAAAAGCCTTTCGTTTCTCCATCTCTATATGTACTTCTCTTTTGTTTCAAAAGACCACTCTACGGGCATAACTTACTAGCACAGCATACTGGAGACTGAGATAGGTAAATGGAAAGTAGCAGTTATTTTGTGAAACTCAAGGAACAGTATAAGATTTTGATGATCATCAATGGTTTTAAATTAACTTCCTATCAATTAGTTTTCAATCTTCCTGACATCCGCTGATGACATCAGCTATAGACAGATCCTTCCCTCCTTTGGGCAGGACTACTTCCACGTCACACTACACCTATTAAAGAAGGCAGACCACTTCCACCAAGAGTCTTGTGCCTTGCTGAGCATGCTTACTCTGTGCGAGCTGACGACTAAGAATGACATTTCCGAACTCCCTCCTCTTCAGTTTCTCACATATGACAGCCTCAACAGGAAAACTGCCATGCGTCTTATTACTCACCTAACGTTTGGCGGATCTGAATTCAGGATGGGTGTTGCACAAAGAGACTTGTTTCCTTGGTTGTGGCTTCCGTAACCTTCTCTTGCAGGCAAACGGTAGACCCTTTGGATAACGACTCGCACCTGCGCCTCTCTCCATCCCACTGCTCCCTGGCTTTCCACCATTTCAAGCAGAGAATCATTAACAGCACTGTGTGCTAAGGGATGCCGCTTGGAATCACAGTTGTTATGGATTTGCGAAGCACAGGCAACCTGGTGAAGGAAAACTTATTAATGGAATCATTTCAGGGGACCTTGAAACTAGGTAGTGCTAGAGAGTAAAACTTCAGCATGAAAAGTCACTGCAAGAAGTGCAAAATCAGTTTCAAAATACTTACTGCACCTAAACTAACTTGCAGACTAATGCCCAATATTTATTATGGATTTTTAATAAACACGCAAGAGTTAAGCAGACAGTGCTCTCCTATATTTAACTCATGCTCTGGACTGAGCTAATTTAATCCATGAGAGATTAGGGAGACACCAGCAGGAAAACAGAATTGATATTAGTATTTATGATTGTTCCCCTTAAATTGAGTTTCATTTTTAGTTCTTTGATGTTCTGTTCCTTCCTCTTCTAACAAAGAGGTAAAATCCATCTTGAATGCTTCCAGACTTTCAGATTAAGTTCAAAATGAACAGGTGTCTACTTTTACAGAACAGTAACCTAATTATCAGATTTATACATTTCAATGTAAATTGTTTCAATGTAAAAGAATTAGATGATTAATGAAAATATAAAAACTTATAAAAAATAAATATAAACCTTAATTTAGTCTTTCACTACTTCCAAAACATGTTTTATTAATAAAATCTTCCAAATGTTCAAAATGAATTTTATGAAGAAAATGTGATATTTTGCCTTAATCTAAATGAGTAATTTCAGGAAAAATTGTATGCATGTATAGACTAACATGGTCTATATATATAGGTTCCTTCCCAGCATGAGCCAAATCTCTATTTTCACAATGAAACCTGTTTTTATAAAAAGCTGTGTGCCAGGAAAGGTTTTCAGAGTATTACAGATTACGCCATAAGCAATATCTACCAGTAGAGAAGGAGAATTTGCAGTACTTAAAAGAAAACTGCGGTACGACACTACTCAGTGTCTACAAAGCAGTTGTAATAAAACTTGTCTGCTGAGTTTTAAATGAAGTGGTTTTGTTTGCTAGGAACCATGAGGGGAACTGTTAAATTGCTCTGGTTTTCAAATATCACGGTAGAAGCTTCTTACAAGGTAGAATTGAAGGAAAAAAGGACATTAGGATTTAATTTATGTAACTTTTTCATACATAGCATATAATGGGAATTATACGTAAGGCAAATACAAAAATGTTGACACTCAGTGCTGTTCATCCAACTTGTAGGGCCAAATTCCTCAAGTATCAAATATTAACAATGATTCCTGGTGGCCAATATACAGCCTTTGCAAAAGCCTTACTTTTGGAAGGTGGTACTGACATAGACTATCAGAAAACCAGATCTCTTAAAATACCTTAGTTTGTACAACCTCAGCTAGAGACATCCACAGTCAATAGACATTTTAATATAAAAAGGTCAAAATAGAGAAGAAAACAAATTGCAGGGCTAGGAAAGGGGGGGTGTTACCAACTGATGCTTTAAAGAAAGGATAGGAAAGATTAGAAAATGAGTTAAGAAATAGGAGTGGGAAAAGGGAATATTTATTTAAAACAATATCTTGATTGGGTTAGCAGAAAACTGATTTTACTTCAAATAAAGCTTAGTTATTCAGCTACAAAGCATAAGAGAAAAATCAATGAAAAACCAGGCTACAATTACTGTTTAGCACAGTAGTGGGACTTCAGCAAAATAACCTCACAGCAGTTCAGCATTTGGATGGGCCAAAAGCCTCTGCTAAGAAAATATTATTAAACTAAACACTGCATGTTATTCAGTCTTGGCTAAATGCACGGGGAAACTGAACAGGTCGGTAATTTAGAATTTTAATTTTTGTTATGATTTCCAAACATCTGCTCACCAACTTCTTACCAAGTGCTAAACAGTGAACCAAATGGACCTTACCTGATTATCTGAAGATTCCTGCCGTAACTCACCATCAAGGTCATCTAGTCTGAATGTCTGTGCCAGAGATATAATATTCTTCCTAATGAGCATCTTTGTGAGACCGTATGTCTTCTCTCTTGTTTCTGATTGTTCACTGATTAGCACCTTCTGACTAAAATATGTATTCATGATAACAGGAACATCCGAATTTTTGAGAAGCAGTTTTTGCCTGGAAAAAACCATAATTTAAGTGGTATCAAATCCATTACGAGTTAAATGACTGATAAGCACTATTTTAAAACATGTGTCATGTATTCCTCTACCCTTTTTCTACAGTTATCACTAGACCGCTGAAAGGTAAGTTATTCAAATTGCAAATAACCGACCCCAGAGATAACTTTGACTTGGATCAGCCCTCTCAGCTCAGGTATAGCCGTGGGCGAGTGGAGCTCCGCTGCATCCAGGGACAACTTACACCTGGAAGCCAGCTGAGCTGAGGGCCTTCTGGGCTTTGCACAAACACTACTCGGTGTCTCCACGTTGTCAGCGCAGAACCAAGAGCAACAGGAACCCCTGCATGCAGAGACCGAGGTAAAAGCCATCAATGAAAGATTAGTAATCCTGCTCTGTGTTAATGTAGAGTGCTGGCTCTGCTGGACCCAGCCTGGCCCTTGCAGACCAGGAACTCCCTCTCTGGTGAGTGCTTCCCACTGACCCAAACTCATTCTCACTGCAGCTAGCAGCAAACTGTTCCTTCTGCTTTCTCTTTTTTTAGATGCAAAATCCTACACTTTTCCTATGATATGCCGTATATTATTTTGCCTGTGTGTTTGCCGTTGTCATAAATGTGCTCTCCAAGACTAAGTTTTGATTTCAAGAGCCAATGTAAATTCCCAAACAGCTTCACATGCTGCAATTTCTCGCCTAGTGGATTAAGGTAATGGTTGCAGAATCTTAAAACACACAATAATTTAATGCCAAAGCACGTCTTGATGTTGGGATTTTTTCATATGCTAGCATCACAATCATACCTTTAGAAAAATGCTTTTTATACTCACAGGATACAAATCTAATGAAGTCAGCTAACAAAAACAACCAGTAATCTCATTTTCTAGAAACCATCAAAACAAACACAATTCACTTAGTGACTTTATTGCAGGCTGTGTTTTTCTACTATTAGATTTTTATCGCTTGGGAGTAAAACAAGGCCTCCTGCCTTGGCAGCAAAGCTGAGCTGACCAGGGTTCAGAATTAACCTTAGGACTTCAGTCTCTAGACTGCTCAACAGTTGTATTATGGACAGGAAGCAAGTTTTCACATCTATGACACTGTTTGTCAAAAGTGCAACCATACAAAGTTAAGAAGCAAAACAAAAGCAAAACAAAACACTCAAAAAATACTTATTTCTGATTTCAGTCTATGCAAGTTCTTAACTGTGGTCTGGTTTATAGCACACTCCTTCATTCTCTAGAGAGTGGATAGCTAAATGGAAATTAATGCATTCATATTTTCAAGGCCATAGGAAAAGCTGCAGCAAGGTATTAAACATAGTCCTCATTTTTTTATAATTAGGAAAATAATGCAATAGGAAGATGATCTCTGCCTTTTAGAAAAAAGTACACATTAAAAACTAAGCTTGCAACTTCAAACTGTGACTCATACACATAAATAATAAGAAAGATGTATTGCTTCTATGTGTGAACACTCAAGGAAGTTATGATCTGAAATAGAAAATTTGTGAAAAGTTAAACTAAGTGCCGAACTTGTCCAGATGCCTTACTGCCATCTATGAGTTCTTCCGACCTAAGTGAGCAGTAAGTTCATCCCCAGGGGACACTGAGTCCCTTGACTCCAAGTGAATTTGCTAACAAAGCTCCCAGTTAAGAAAAGCATGACTGTAGCCCATGAGGCTGCCAAACGCACTTTGCCTGATAATTTTCTGCATTACAGGCCTAAAACCAAGGAATTAGCTTGGTCAGCAAACCAAGACATCTCTGATGTCATGAGATTTTTAAACTGTCACTACTCCATTTTTTCTGAAGAACAAAAACGTACATAAAGTTTGCTACGGACCTTGGGAGAGTTTGAGCTGTCTTTATATGCAGATGTGGAATGAAAATTTTCACACCTACTTTCTTGAGACGTCTGTGTTCAGACCCAAAGTAAACAGGAAATCTCTCTGAGCACGAGACTGTTACGTCACTAATGTCAGAAGAATGTTTGCTTGATCTAAATCATCTCATTCTCTACAAAAATACTGACGTTAGCAGCAAATCATTTGCAGGAACTCTGATGTTTATGGTTTTATTTTTATTTTCCTGTGCAGATCTGTCATTGGCTTTTTTCTTCTTTTTTAAGGCAGGTAGGTTTTACTGATACTCAAATTACGTGTACCGTGGTTTTGCTATGCCTATCCATTCCATACCTCGAGTACTTTTACAACCACCAAGACGTTTCTTTGCTCAGTTTCCCTCATATCTTTAAATAAGTAATGCATAAATTTATGGCTACTCAGCATTTCCACAAAGCAAAAAAGGGACATACACACACTTTCATAAGAAGCTCCCATTTCTTACCTGCAATTAGTTCACTAAAAACACTCTGCTTAAGGAATCATTTGATTTAGACCTGCATAGTTGTCCACAGACTTAGCAATAACCCACCAGCTAGGTCAGAGGAATAATCACAGTAGTCTATTTACATCTTGCCTATTTCTCAATGGACGGATTCCTCACAACAGGAAATGAAAGGAACCAGCAACAAGTAGAAATAATAATCAAAGAAATAAAAAAACCCCTTGTAATAAGATCACTATTTTGTCTACAGGTAGATAGCTAAATCGAAATATTTAAAATATATATATACATAAAATATATATAACATAAAATGTGTGTCTATATATCATATCATATCATATCATATCTTATATTATATTATGGTTTTATATATAATTCCCAAGTTTCTTCTTCATTATGAAAAATTATTTCTATAATATGAATTAATTGAATGACAACTCTGTCCTTTTCCAGAAATTTTTCCTAGTGTTGCTTAGCTCAAACAAGCTTTGCAAGACGGCAGTTTTGACACCCATCACGGCAGAAAACTCTGCATTGTCAATGTACATTGCTCGTACTATTCTCTTTGCAACAAAGGCGACCATGTTTGAAACACACATCCCTTAATTCTTTTTGTCTGCTTGAAAGATACAGACTAGAGCAAAGTCTGTTAAACTGGAACTATCGGGAAGAAAAAAATAAATCAGTTCCCCAAGCAATCCATGTGGTCCTGAGCTGCATGTGTTGCCCCTGTGCCTGAGACACCATAACTGATCACCTCAACCTTCTGTATCTTTTCCAGATGCACATTCTCTACAGCCAGAAGCAGCCCTACTTCGTAGGATACAGAGTACACTCTGTAGCATCCTCTGTACAGATAAAGTATTAAATGAGCATTTCAAGTTTTCTGTGACCTCTCTTAAATTTTTTCTTTTCTGTCTGTTTATTTAAATGCTTATTTTCACAGAACGAGAGACATCATCTCATTCAGCAAATTACATAGAGACAATGGAAAGAAAATAAAATTGGCTACAGACTTTTTAAAAAAGAGCTCTTTTACTCTCTGATTTTCTTCTGGATCAGCAAGGTATATTTAAATGTTGGATTAGCAGTCGACTTCCTTAACAACTGCCTTTAGAGGAAAGGTCGTTTGTAATGACCTGAAGTAAGAGACTCTGAACTTTTTATACTACAGGGCATTTTTTTTCCTGGTATGTAGACAATCAGCAATTGCCGTAACTGGTCACATGCTAAAGGAACATGAGGCAATAATGTGGGGTTTTTTTTCCTTTCCAGCAGCAGCTTGCTTCTCTCTCCAAGAACGTAACTTGCTTTTTCTCTTTTCCCCTTCTATGATGAAATGCCTGTCTTGCAGAGTAGAAGCTGGAGATGTCCTCGCCTATAATCGTGGGCTATCGTCATCTGAGATACGAAACACTGCAGAAAATTACAGCACGGCACGGTGTAAAGTAGCTGAAATTTCAGCCTAAGACAGGGTTTAATCCTGCCGCCGAACAGCTGGCAGGTTTGCACCGGGGTCTGCCCCGCGCAGCCCATCCACAGGCTGAGCCAGCCAGAAGCTGTGCCTCTGTGGCAGCAGCTCGCTCACAAACCACACGCTTCCGCTCCGTTCTGCTGACATCAAACAGCAGTGCTGGTTCATGAACTCAGGATGACTCTGGATCACTTTAAATTAGAGAACATGGGGGATTTTTTGTTTTCTCTCTCTGGGCATTTTATTGGGCTTTCTTTTATTTTGCAAAGTGTAAAAAAGCCTACAGCTTTTTTTTTGAAGAGGACATTGCATTAACCGAAGTTAACATTTCAGAGACCTACAACATGTACTGTGATTATGAAACAGGCTAATTTCAAGCCTCAGAAAAATTATTTCTGCATAAAGAAGGATTCATGCCCACCATGTAGAACAGCACTTGTACATACAAAGTAACAGCATTACACTGCTTGTCCAAAGTGTGAGGAGTCATCCCCACAGGAACACCATCCCTAATTTCCTAGGAACTGCTTATTTTGTCCAGTATGGAAGAAGTTGCTCATGCTCCCTCTCGCTTAAGATTGAGTGCTATTTGCAATGGTTAACCTGTGCAAAATTATAAGATATCCAAGAAATGCCTGAGTATGAAATAATGATAAGAATTTTAAAATAAACCAGATTTTCCAAGTGCAGACAGACCTCTGCACACCTACCACCCAAGGATGATAACAAATATGCAGCCCAAATTAAAAAGACATTTGGAACAGAGCTACCTTCTGCCATGCCTAGAGATAGCCCAAACACAGAACTTTCTTCCATAAGTGAGTAATCTCACCACTCATGTGTGAGCCTCCATCAACATTATTTACCGTTGCTTGAACAATCTGTATGAACACTGTGTTTGTGAGCTCACATTTTCATAACACAAAACTTCTTCCCCAGACCCACCCTCAAAGACAGAAAACAAAAATCAGCTGGTTTCTCTTTCTTTGAAATTATCTTATGCAAAGCAACAGATTATTGTGGGACAAGTTTTCAAGGCTGACTGCACTCTTTTAACCCTCTAGACTGGTGTCCAGAGTCATATATGTCAAATAAACAGTTCTTAACCATGTCAGGTTTCCAAAGAAATGTAGCTTCAGCACCTCAGAATAGCAGCTCTGCAGGAGATGTAACAATAAAAAGCTAATCAAACTATGTCTACAATGTCTACTTTTAGAGTATGATACATTTTATTTGTGAATAGCTAGATATTAGTTTTGTTCCCCTACTGGAAAAATATTTTGTCTCAGGATTAATTCCATCAATACAACACACAAAGAAAAGAAAATATAGCTACTAAATGTATATATTGTTATGACCCAATCTGTTACCATTTGTCACTCAACTTTAAGTAAAAAGCAAACTCTAAGGAAATTAGTAAAACACAAGCAATGAAAAAAATCTTCTCCATTGCAGCATAAATTCTTTCTGCAAAATAATATTGCGGTTTTCAACAAAATTACTTGTAAACCTAAGAAATCACTCCAGCAGGAAATTACGGTGCACAACGCCAACACTTTTATCACTGTATCATTTTACTAATTTCAAAGTAATCATATAAAGTAACCACTGGCTTGCCATAGTACTGCCTTTTGAAATATGACACCCTGTAGCACGAAAAAAATTCGTATGGAAATTTTCATATTTAAAGAAGAGCTCTGCTATAAAAAGCTTGTGGTTAACATTATGCACTACTGTATCACACACCTAGTGCTCTCACCTCTGCAGGAAGGTGCACCGTGTGCTAACTGAAGAGGATGTACAGGTCTTCTGATGTAGGAAAGCACAGATGGATATCAAAGCAAATCTCATCCACCTCCAGGAAATTACTGTAATATCAGGCTGATCAAGACTGGAAAGTGAGGAAGTTTCTCAGCCACTTGCTTCAGCTATGAAGAAAGTACCCGAAACTTCTAGCATTCTGGATCACAATTTATCATGACAAAGCTTAACCTTTGGCATCACCAAACATAAAATTCCACTCACAGGCTGCGATTGCATACAAACTGGCATGAAAAGAATCTCTTGAGCTCACTGAGGTAACGCATTGGGGAGAATTTGATAAAAATCTACTTCAACTGTGATGCTTAATATCTAACACATAAGTCAGGCACAAAACAATTTTTAAAAGATGTAAAGTTCCATTATTAAGAAAAACTGCATACCATAAAGCATTAAATTATAAAGTTCCTTTAAAAACAAAACCACTCACCCACACACAGTATGAGGGTGTTACAAGTAACTAGGGAGATATAAATATCATGGTTATCTTTTCATAATCAAGATGTTATGGAAGAATTCCAAGCTGTGTGTTTACTCCATATATCAACTTGTGTCTGACTTGCCACAAGCTCATTACTCAGATGACTTCTTCTCCCTGTTCCCAGTGCTAAACTGCACGTAGGGTTTGAGGTGGCTGCGGGAGGATGGCTGGAGCCACCAGAAAGTCCAGGGATATGTCAGAGAGAGTTTCTGAAAAGTGATAAAAGGGAAGCAAGCAAACTGCAAAGTGACATCATATTAAAACTTGTGGTGTATGTTAGAGATAACAAGAACAGCCAGGCTGGTGTGAGATCAGAGGCTCATCTACCCCATACTTTTAGCTTACAGCAGCAAACACCAGATGTTTGAGGAAGACTATGAAAATAAAAGCAAGAATCTAGGGAAAGTTCTCTGGAACACTCTCTAATTAAACTTCTGCAATCTTTCAGAAGTGTAGTTAACATTCCTTGGTAGACTTTTCTTCCAGGAACTTACATGCCTGCTTTTGGACCACTTGTACATTTAGAGCATCCACAACATCCTGCAGCATCCACAGTACTCTACAGTCTAATTAGACGCTTGTGAGAAACCACTTCCTTTTATTTGTTTTGATCTGTCACCTCGTGGTTACATTGCTGCCCCCCACTTCTTGCTTTTAAGAGGCAGTGAATAATCATCCTTCTTTGATGTACATCCTAATACAGACCTTTATCACATCCTCTCCCAGCTTCTGCTTTTTCAAGGTGAAGAGCCCTAATCATCTTACTTATTTCTCACAGGGAAGCCGCTCCATACCTCTCCTGGTCCCTCTGTTATTTTTCCACTTCTACTACACATTTTTGATTTGGGAAAGTGAAATTCCAACCTAAAAATCTACCATGAATTTCTATAGTGACATCATGATGTCTCTAATCCAATTCTAGTAAGTCTTACCATTCTATTTGTTCTTCTGATTGTTAGATGAAAACTAAGCTGATGTACTAATGACGTCATAAGAACACTAAAAACACATTCCTGGATGCTAACAATCCAGAGTTCAAAATTTTATATGTGTTCTTCGCATTTACCTACAATTTCCTAGTAAGAGAGGTGAAATTCTTCCTCCAGCCCCAATTTTCAAGCATTCTGTAGGAGGATGAACACATTCCCTTGCCCATAGGATTGTAAGGATCACAGCGCACCATCGAAGAGGAAGGAAATCCGCATAATATTCTGTGGCACAGGTGTCCCATTCTTTATTTCCTTTGTAGGCACTATGACACAATAGAGATTTGAGGAAACCAGTTACACCAAGAACTCCTCTGCCTGTGGTAAGGTAAGGAGTTTGGCCACTCTGCCACCGTTACACACCATCGCCACTCTGGAGGTACCAGCAGAAGCTGTTTCTTGTGCCAGCAGAGCTCTGCAACACCCACCCAAGCAGCTGAGAGCCATGTGCCAGAGTGAAGAACTTGAGCTTAGAATTTCTGACGAAGGTATGGAGAGGCAGGGTATGTGGTTGGTTGGTTGGTTCAAGTTTGGAGGATTATTGGAGGAACTTGAACAAATAAATTCCATTTTAAAACACATTGTTCAACACTCTGTAGAGATTATTAAGAACACTAGCCTTTGCTTCCATTGAGGTTTTGGCATTTGCTATTGGCATAGACTCCTCATGAGTCCATGCCTGCATAAATGCTCAAAGGTGTCTTCACATGCACAGTAGCAAGAACAAATATGTATCCCTGAGCAAACTCTAAAGACACCTCAATATAGGCATATGCTTGATTTTGTCTAAGTATTTTATTATTAGACCTAATACTAAAAAGAAACCCATCAACACAATTACAAAACAACCACAAAACTCCCATCAGACTTGTTCTTGTACTCTCCTCTTGTTCTGGTATTCATTTCTGGACACTTCCAAGTGTTTCTTGGCCAGGACATGGAGCAAGACCAGATTCTGGTCTGGCCTGGTGAGGTCACTTCTTATACACACAAATCTAGTGCTATCACCACATTAGTACAGGGAAAAGTAGTTGAAAGTAGCAGTAGTTCTGGCTTCTCTAATAACGCAAAAGGGATTACAGAAGATAGTGAGAGCTTGCTCAGTGCCATAGAGTGCAAGAACAAAGCTGGTCAAAGACTCAATAGCGCAATGAGATGGATGAACCCCTGGATTGCTTTTTTTGTGATCCCATTAGTCTTCAGATTCTACACAGCTTCAGCACGTTCTAGGCTTAATTTCCATTTCAAAGAATATTTATTTCTAGAAGGAAATAGTCTTTTCTTCTTCCAGCAGAAGAAATTACATAGGTATAGTGGAAAGACGAAAGGCCTTATTGTTATTTTAAAAAGTACACACAGCTCTGCTTCTACTTTTCTTTAGAACACTTCAACATCTACCAACCCCATAAGCCAAGTTTACCTACCACAATTCTCTGTGTTGCACAGTCATACGAATACAGCTCCTTGAAACTAATTACAAGGCAAGTTGAAAGAAGGGGGGAAATACCTGACAAAGCATTACAGAAATAAAACCTAAACCCAACTTTTTCAGAAACTAGATCTGTGTTTTTCTAGAGGACCTAAGAAAATGAAATTGCGACCTAAGTCATTGCTTGAAGCACTGACAGAAACATAATAAAATTTTTACAAGCTTGATGCAAATGCACCCACCAAAACAGGTAGGCATCATTAACTTTTAAAAACTGCGGAGAGCGCTGATAGCAATGGGATTGTGACATACAGTCACACGTGAAGGGCCAGTTCGTGGATAACCCACTTCAGCTAAAGGGCTTCCCAGAAGCAACACACTTCCAAGGGAAAGGAGCATTTTGGAGTACAGGTATCTCTCATTATTGCAATCTGTCCTCCCCTGCTGAAAAGAGTAGAAACAAAGCCTTTGAAGTTCTGGGAAAACACCTGTGAAAACATAATTTTTTGGAGAAAACCAGTGAGAGAGACAGAATGAAGAAGGTGTGCCACTGTAGAAATCTTGGCCCTGGCAAAGCAAAAACCACTGAAGGTTAAAGTGAGAATGGCATTCCAAGAACAACAGTGAAATTAGCTAGTACAGAGAAATGTTTATTCAATAAAGAGTGAAACATCTCCCTCACAGTTCCCAAGCAAACAACAGTAAGCTAATCAGGGGCTTAAATATACCTCATGTTGTTTAACAAAAGATGGAATCCTTAACATATATGTGCACTAATACTAGCACATTCTTGATTTGTCATGCAAGTAAATACATTTAGGATATTGTATTTCTTAGGATATTCCTTTTTATCGGTTGCTTAAGGAAAAAAAAAAAGCATACCTGAAACCAATGCAAAACTAGTCTGTCTAGTGCAAATACTGTTCCAAGAGGAGCCTTCAAGCTCATTTCCTGTATGTTAATGTGTTCGACTGAAAAAAATGTCCAGGGCACGATTCCCGGACTCTGATACAGGAAAAAAGAGGAGTTCCCTGGCTTAGTTAACATCAGAGGGAAGACACGAGGGACTCATTAAGGGAAAAGAGGCCATTCTGTGACTCTAGTATGTGCGTGCTCATACACACAACAGTGCGTGCACATGCGTGTGTGCTCCCTTCCCTCCCCTTTCCTGCCTTGCCCCTGCCCCAGTGGAGTGGGTGAGCGGGCGCAACATCCCCTCAAGGGAACAGCTCTCAAAAGATCTGACACGGCGTTTTTACATTCAACCAACTGCATGCAACATTCCTTTTGGGAAAAAAAAATAAAAAATTATCTGTTTGTTTGCTCGAAGCGTCACAAGGATAATACTCATGTCTGTGACCCTGACTGTCTCTGGTCAAGAGGCAGAGAGATTGTGCAGACTGCTTCGCTTTCCAGCACCCCTGGGACAGCCGCCAGAGAACAGCAGTGCTGTCTCAGAGGACAGGGTTAGATCCCTCAGCCTTTAGCTAATGCTGTTAGCAGTTCCTCTCACTCACTGCTGAGAAGGTAAATGCCGTGCACAGGAGACCTGACTTCCACAGCCTTGCACCTGTGATACTGCCATACACAGCAAAAACACCAGTGTCCTAAATTTGGGGAGAGAAAATTTTTTTTTCCCTTAGAGAATCTTGCCCCTAGATCACTTGCCTTCCCATTTCTTAGCATTATTGTCCTGGAGGATGCCCACACCACCACCCTCTCCAAGTATCTGCCAAAACATTTGTATCTGTTTTCTGCATTGTGGTTACAAGAACATGTGGGCTGAAAATCTTACAAAGAACCTTATTTAAACACAGCTTCATCATTCAGATACTGTTTGGGCAAGTGGCTATTCAGAGCCAAACAGCATTACAGAATCTCATTTCAAAGCCTAATTCAACTGAAAGTGAATCTAGCTTACTGTCCTTCCCATCACAACTTGCCTAGGTGCATTTTAAAAGAAGCATTGCCAGGTGCAGAAATACAACCTCTGCCCTTGGAAGTCCTTGAACTAAAGTTTGCTGAAGGCTGGCAAAATAATCCAGGGGAAAACCTGCCTGTGTTTGCCCAGTCCTATTCTCTCACCAACATGCACCCCTGGAGATAGGGTACCCAGATAGGCAGAACTACTATCTCATCTGATAGGACTGGTCTGCTCATCACACCCACCACATTTTGCCTCCACCCCAATAAAGGCATAGCCTAACAGAAAAGCAGATTGTGAAAAGCAGTTAAGCATTGTGTGTATTTTCAGCGTTTCTCAAGCTCATCCTGTCACGACAGCATTCAGTGTAATACCTTCCGCTGCCACAAACCATGATCACAACCCATTGCATAATGACAGTAATAAATGTATGTCTGTGTTGCTGTATATGAGTATATAAATCCCTAAGTTTATAAACTCATCACAGAACACATGAAAGGCTTGAGAAGCAAGTAGATTTCACTTTATTTTATTCTAAATTTCTGGGACTGTCACTTTTTATGCAAATCTACTCTGCAACGGTAAAAAAAAAAAAAAGAAGCTGTGAAACAACTCAAGACCCTAATAAACCTGAGAGGGTCTGCCCAATAGAGAGCACCAAAATATCTACCACCTACAACAGCTCTCTATAAATGTAAACTGTCCTAACCCAAACCCTCCTCCTTTCACTTCAAAAGGTAGGTGGCCTATACAAGGCACCCTGTATGTCTGGCTACGTCTGATCAGGAGAGCACAGTTAGTTTGGAAAACCTCTTGAATCCGGCTTAAGGATGCACACCAAAGACAACTGTGGCAACTTAGCAGTGATTTTTACAGACTTTTCTAAGCTACCTTTTTCAGGTTCTTAAATCACCAAAAGCAGGCCTAGCAGCCATTAAAGAGCTTTTGAGATGTGGTAAAATCACGTCTGTTACAAAGTATGTGCAAGGTTGGCTTACTTCTGTTTAGATACAGCCACATAGAGATTCCTGTTGCATTTTAATAACACTATAATGGTAACAAGGTCCACATGAAGGGCAAAAATAGTTGCAACTTTTTGAGCAGGCATAGACAAGGAAAAAAGGCTATGCTGGACCAGAAAACACAGCAAAATGAATGGCTGGTAAAATTTTAAGCACTTTGCCTCTGTGCTCACTTGCGTCATCTTCTGGGAGGCTGAGCCTTTACCATGCTTCCATCTCACCTAGGCTTGGATGGTATCACGCATGCTGCACTATCTGAAAGAGTAATAATATATTTTTGCTACAATAACAGACTCAGACACATAGAGAACAGGTGAGAAGATTAAAAAAATAAATCATATAAACAGTATCGCATACTTTCTTCTTTTTTTTTCCTTCCCAGACAGATTCTTGCCAGTTGTTTGTTGTGTCTCAGTACATCAACAAGTGAACATCAATCGCCCTGTGGTGCCAATCTCAAAGGCAGAGTTATGACTGACAGTCTTATGATCAAGCACCAGCCAAATACGTGCAGCCACAAAACAAGGCTCTGTGGCTGAGAGCTCATAGTGCCATCTGGGATCACCCCTCAAAGCATTGAAATATTTACACTTTCCCCCTCTAAGCTAGGGAAAGGGATGGCACTTCCAGAAAGGACAGAACACAGTCACCTTTGGATGACAAGAAGGGTTTCGACACAGAGACCTGCAGGGCAAGGACTGCAGGTACACACAGCCACAGTATCTCATGCTCCATACAGAAAATATTCTAGAAGTGAGCACATTTTTCACACAGTTCTTTGAAATAATTACTACCATTTAGATTAGCATAATTTACAATAAGTAAAGTAAATTAATAAAATAAATAATTTCCCTTGCTATGTCCCTTAACCTCACCTATTTACCCTGAAAACCAATTCAGTTAGTTTTACTTCCAGTACTGCTTGCTGCCAGATTAGGGTTGCTACAGGGCACACATTACTTGATAAAAGATAGAATTCTATCTACTGGCA